AAAACGTTGGGTGGAAGCAGTGATAGATGACGAAGATGAATTTTTAACATATACTGTGTTAAGATATAAATATCATCTATCGGATGTATCCCAATGGCAATATTTACAGCTACAACATTTGTTAACAACATTGTTTGGATCAGCAGCATTTTCACTTCTGAGACATCTGAGACACAATAACAACTTGTTAAATCCTCCAGAACTAAAAAAACCCTACTTTTAGCTTGTATAGATATTTGTTATCAATAAATCAATTTTTATATGCAGTTGTTAAGGGAAGAGTAGAATAAAGAATTAGAGGTTTCTTTATTCCCTAGATAGTGGGAGAGTGTCTTAACTTCTGTAGTAAAAGTGTGAAATGAAAAATAATATTTAGAATTTATTGGACTCCACTATGTCTTTATAGAAAAGGATCATCAAAAACAGCATTTTGTTGGAGATATAGTAAGGACAATGCCTCTTTAAACCATATGTTTTTACAATGTCCTAATAAGTTTTGGGAGACAGTAGTGGACTATATAAATGTGATGGTGCGACAAAAGCTAAACTTTTCAGAGGATAACGTTCTTTTGAACTGCATGCCTAGGACACGGAATTTGACAACCGGACAACGTAAATGGATTCTGTGCCCTTACTATGGCCAAAGGACTGATATTGCAGCATTGGAAAGATAAATGTGTGGCCCCATTTATTCAATGGATTGAAGTCCCGATTTCACTTGCCATTGAGTGGATTGCCAATAGACATAGACTTTGTACAGACAATTATAATGAAATATGGGACTCATTTATACAAAGTATAGTAGTTTAAAATGACACATACAAATGTATTCGAAGAATATATGCATATGAATATTTGCATTAGATAAATATTTATAGATTTGTAACTGTTTACTGTTATAATATGCTATGCCAGGTTTTTATATTGTTTGTTTTGTTTTTGTCACTTTTTTGTAATAGCACTTTTTAATGTTTTCTTTTTGATAGTGTGTTATTATGTTGTTTTTCTTTTTGTTGTTGTTCTTAATTAAAAAGCTATGAAATTTATATTAAAAAAGCATGTGGGCC